AATAAAAACATATGTCTATTGTAATAGTTTTGGTTCTATTAAGGTCTACTTTGGGCTGTTAGTTCTGTTACGTATCTGTTAGAGTTTGTTACATGTACTCAACTATAAATACTTGTACTGACTCTTTCAATTAATAAGAGATTCTATTCTTCTTCCTTCTATCTGAGTTCAATTTCTATTATGGTATCAGAGCTCTAGCTCGATCTACCATGCCGGAAACTAATTCAACTTCGTCTTCAACCTCAGCTACTGGAAGTATCACTTTTCCAGTAGCATTCTCTCATCCTCTTCCAATCAAATTGGATTCGAACAATTATCTTCTGTGGAAACATCATATTGAATCTGTGATTCGAGCACACAAACTCATCCGGTTCATTGAGAGTTCGAAGACTCCTGAGCAATTCATCACCGATGGAAATGGAGAGAAGACTGTGAATGAAGCTTACGCTGCCTGGGAGCAACAGGATCAGATGTTGTTCTCATGGATGCTCTCGTCTCTATCTGAAACCCTACATGCTCGTATCATTCACTGTCAACGATCGTATGAACTTTGGAGCACGATTCGCAACTTCTTCCAAGCCAACATCGTCGCTAGGGCAAGACAGCTAAAATCGGAACTCTACAATACTGGAAAAGAAGATCGATCCATCTCAGAGTACCTGCTTCGAATCCAAACAATTGTTAACAATCTCATTCTTGTTGGCGAACCGATCTCTAACAAAGATCACATCAATGTTATTCTCGAAGGATTGCCAGAAGATTATGAATCTCTTGTGTCCTCTGTAACTTCTCGAAGCATTCTCGAACCAGTCACCTTAGCCGAACTTGAGTCATTGCTTTTAGCGAAAGAGATGAGACTGAAGAAATTTCATGATACCACTCAGCAAACTGTATTTTCTGCTAACATTGCTCAGGTTGATGCTTCCTCTAAAAATACTTCATCTGAAACTCCTGTTACTGTTGAGAATGCATCTGCAAATGTTTCTCAGTATAATAACCCAAATAGTGGTAATCCTTATCGTGGACGTGGTCGTGGAGGTTTTCACAGAGGCAGGGGAGGTCGTTCTGGACGCAGCTCTATCATCTGTCAGGTCTGTGGAAAATCAGGCCACCATGCCTTGATTTGCTATCACAGATATAATCCTGCTTATACCAACCCTAACCCTAATCCTCTCCCTCAAAACCCTACTTATTCAAATCCAACTTCTGGAACTCCAACCTACTGGAATCCTAACTCCCAATCACACTACCAGCCAAATCAGTTCACTCATCAACATAAACCACACCCTTTTCAACCTCAGCATCAACCTGCCAATCCATCCTCTGAAACATTTAACTGGGGATATCAGCAATCTTCCAACAACCTTCCATCTGCAAACTATGCTACCGCTAATCCCTCAGTGCTTGGTCCAATTCCACCTAATCAGCATTGGTTTCCAGATTCAGGAGCAACCCACCATGTCACTGCAGATCCACTGAACTTTCAACACAGTGAGCCTCTTGCTACATCTGACAAGCTCTTCATGGGCAATGGCCAAGGTTTGGACATAAAGTCTATAGGTTTTTCTTCCTTTCCATCACCCTATCACTCCTCACAATCACTCTTACTGAATAATATTCTTCATGTTCCATCTATAACTAAAAATCTATTAAGTGTTAGTCAATTTGCCAAGGACAATAATGCCTTCTTTGAATTTTATCCTCATGACTGCTATATCAAATCCCAGGTTTCTAAACAGGTCTTGTTGCATGGAGAACTTGGTGAAGATGGCTTATACAAGTTTCCATGCATTCCTCTTGGTTCTTATCAAACTGCTGCAATCCATCCACAAGCTTCCTTAGTATCTCATAGTCAATCTGTGTATCCAGCTTCTTTTATGTCAACATGTAATAAGTCTCAGTCATGTAGTTCTTCAATTTCATGTAATCTGTGGCATCTCAGATTAGGTCATCCTCATCTTGAGGCACTTAAATCTGTACTTAAACATTGTAAAGTGTCTTCTATTAATCAAACTAATGTTGATTTATGTTCTGCTTGTTGCCTTGGGAAAGCACATAGGCTTCCTTCATATCCATCTAATACTGTTTATCATAAGCCCTTTGAAGTCATATTCACAGATTTATGGGGTCCAGCACCCATCTTATCCTTTGATGGATACTCATACTACATAGCCTTTATTGATGCCTTTACAAGATATACCTGGGTATACTTTCTGAAAAAGAAATCTGATGCTATTACAGCATTCCAAAATTTCTACAATTTAGTTCTAAATCAATTTTCAACATCCATAAAATCAGTACAGTCCGATTGGGGAGGGGAATTCAGATCCTTCACCCATTTTCTTACTGAAAAAGGCATCACTCACAGAATCATATGTCCTCACACCCATCATCAAAATGGTGTGGTTGAAAGGAAACATCGCACAATTGTTGAAAAAGGTCTATCCATCCTAGCCCATTCCTCTTTACCTTTCAAATTCTGGGATGCTGCCTTTGCAACATCTGTACATCTTATTAACAGAACTCCATCCAAGTCCATTGCTAATTCCAGTCCATACTTTAAACTCTATGGATCTGTTCCAGACTATTCTTCTCTTAGAGTCTTTGGTTGCTCTTGCTATCCTTTTCTCAGACCTTACAATAAACACAAGTTAGATTTTCACTCAGAAGAATGCACATTCATAGGATATTCCTCTCAGCATAAAGGCTATAAATGCCTGTCTAAATCTGGCAGAATATATATTTCAAGGGATGTAATATTTCATGAATCCAGATTTCCCTATTCATCAATATCCAAATCATCCATTCCCACAATCAATCCTACTCCTAACCCAAATTCTGCCACACTAACTATTCTAAATCCAAGTCCTCCATCTACTTCTGAGTCATCTCAGTCCCAGCTTCATGACCTTCAAATCAATAATTTCCAGCCTCATGACTCCCAACCTACTGCTTCCAATACTCAGAGTCAAGCAGCAACTCATTCCTCTACTCCTTCCACTCATGATTCCTCTGTAAATTCCAACACATCCACTCCCATTCTACCCTCACAACAACAACCTTCTCATTCATCATCTGTTTCTACTTCCTCAAATTCCATTCCTATCCATACAACTAACACTCATCCTATGCAAACTAGAGCAAAATCAGGAATTGTTAAACCTAGACTTAATCCTACCTTGCTATTAGCACATGTTGAGCCTCAGTCAGTAAAGCAAGCACTCACATCTCCTCAATGGTTTTCTGCAATGAAAAATGAGTATAATGCCTTAATAGCAAATCAAACCTGGTCTTTGGTACCTTTACCACCTGACAAACATGCTATAGGCTGTAAATGGGTCTTTAGAGTTAAAGAAAATCCTGATGGTTCTCTTAACAAATACAAGGCCAGACTAGTAGCTAAAGGCTTCCATCAGAGGTTCGGATTTGACTTCAAAGAAACCTTTTCACCTGTGGTAAAACCTATCACTATTAGAGTTTTACTCACTTTGGCAGTTTCTTATCAGTGGTCTATTCAGCAATTAGATGTCAATAATGCCTTTCTAAATGGAAAGCTTGATGAAGAGGTCTACATGGTTCAACCCCCAGGCTTTCAAGCACAAGACACCTCTTTAGTGTGCAAACTACATAAGTCATTATATGGCTTAAAGCAGGCTCCTAGGGCCTGGTTTCACAAACTCACTTCTGTTCTTTATGCAGCAGGTTTTCAGCAAAGCAAATGTGATCCATCACTTCTATTTTTCACAACTAGAGGAGTTCAGATCTACATCTTGATATATGTAGATGATATTCTGGTCATAGGAAATGATTCTAAAGCTATTCAAACTCTCATTCACAAACTACACTCATCCTTTTCTCTCAAGCACATGGGTGACATTGACTTCTTTCTAGGAATAGAAGCCAGAAGACTGACAGATGGCAGTCTACATCTCTCTCAAACCAAATATATAAGAGATTTACTGCATCAGGTTGGAATGCTTGATTCAAAAGGAGTTAAAACTCCCATGATTAGTAGCTGCAAGCTAACTAATACAGGAAGTGCTACTCTTCCTGATCCCTCCACTTATAGGTCAATTGTTGGAACTTTGCAATATGCAACTCTTACAAGACCTGAAATCAGTTATGCTGTAAATAAGGTCTGCCAATTCATGGCAGCACCTTTACAAGATCACTGGAAGGCAGTAAAACACATACTCAGATATCTCTCTGGCACTATCACACATGGCATCATCATTAAACCTCTCCCTCTGAAAACCATATCTCTACCAATTTTAGCCTTTTGTGATGCTGATTGGGCATCTGATCCAGTTGATAGGAGATCCACTTCTGGTTCATGCATCTTTCTTGGGTCAAACATCATCTCTTGGTGGTCCAAGAAACAACTGAGAGTGGCCAGATCTTCAGCAGAAGCTGAATACAGAAGTTTAGCAGACACAGCAGCTGAACTTCTATGGGTTCAGTTCTTACTTAAAGAGCTTCAAGTATCTTTTTCTACTCCAAAGGTCTACTGTGACAACCTCAGCACTGTGCAACTTGCCCATAACCCTGTTCTTCACTCTAGGATCAAACACATGGAGATTGATCTCTTTTTTGTTAGGGAGAAAGTTCAGTCCAAACAGATTGAAGTGTTCCATATTCCAGCTTCCCATCAAGTTGCTGATATTCTGACAAAGCCTTTGTCTGCATCTTCTTTTCTTGAGTTGAAGAACAAACTTAGTGTGATTGATCTTCCAAATCAATCACCCTAAGATTGAGGGGGGAATGTTAGGAATACTGTAAATAATAAAAACATATGTCTATTGTAATAGTTTTGGTTCTATTAAGGTCTACTTTGGGCTGTTAGTTCTGTTACGTATCTGTTAGAGTTTGTTACATGTACTCAACTATAAATACTTGTACTGACTCTTTCAATTAATAAGAGATTCTATTCTTCTTCCTTCTATCTGAGTTCAATTTCTATTATAAACACACTAAATCAATACTCACACACCACTCCACACTTGCACAACATTTCAATAAATTATAAGTTCACAAGTTAAAATAACTACGGAGTATTCAATATCATCCCAAATCCACAAACTATAATAATATTCATAATAATTGTATGAATACAACAAATTAAGATAACTGATCTCATCTTTATATGCTTTTAACTCCTAAAAAAAGAAGAATTAAAAATGCCCTGATATTTCTAGAATATCAACACCTGGTAATATCTATGTAGTAACAACAGAATCTGAAAAACATAAATATTACTACGGGTATTTACTTCAACTTTTCAACTGATGACCCACTACCTCCTACTGTCTTGTTGTCTTGCACCAACTATAGTCATCTTCCACCATTTCCATTTAATATTTTCCATAGGCACCTGCAACAACTCATGAAATGAAAAATACTAGTCGGTATTACAATAACTAAAAGCATATAGGTACAAATGATCAATTATGACACAAATCTGATCTATTGACTCAATACATATAAAATACTAAAATTTGACTAAATAAAGAGCACCCATATATGCATGTGTGTCTAGAGTCATTCATTACTCTAAAGACCATGATAAGGATCCATCACACCTATCAGACCTACTAGGCTATTAATATATGTATATGTGTGTGTAATGTAAATTGAACAAAAAGTAATTATCAACAATCTTTGTGAAATAAAAATGCATGAACGGTCAAACACAATGAATTATTGTTATATTAGCATACACTGAATATGTAGCTAATCTCATACTAACACAAACACAGATACATATAATGCTCTTAAAAATAAATTATTACACCCATCAACTAGTTTAATAATCTATAGAAGTGAAATTCTTAATTCAAGGAGGAGAGTTAAAAAAGAAGCAAAAACATCTCAAATACGGAGTAGTAGATAGAGAGGTGAAAACCTGCAGAAAGTAAAACCAATGGATCAAAAGAGCATCTTTAACACTTTAAACCTGAAGAAAGTAAAACCAAAATATCACTACTTATTATCATCCATATTTAAGGAAAACAAAGGAAGACAATTCAGAATAGTGAAAAGGGATGGAAAACTAAAGAAGCAAAACAAGATAAATGTATAACTAATTCTTCTGTTCACATTCAAAAGGCGGACTTCATAATCTACTACTTTTCTGTCTCTGTAATGATCTGCACAAGTGCACAGGTCAAAACAAGATATAAAGCTCTGCCTTAATTTAGACCATATGATTTATTCTGGAGGTTTGACATGAATGTGGGGCAGGGGGAAGAAATATTAAAATGGAATACATAAGAATGTTATATATGTTGTTACCTTAGCCGTAGCCATAGCACCGGGATTTATTTCACCAAGTGTTTGAACATCAACTTTTGCAAAAGGAATGGAGCTGTAATAGAAGTTTTTCTTTTATTATTAACTTTTGGAAAAAACTTTTCATATATAAAGCACGTACAAAATATTTAAATAGTAGGAAACAACACTTGCAATTAATAGTATGTACGTTGTAAGTAAATACTTCGTAATTTTTTATATAATATGGAGTATTAAATAAGCATAATCTGCAATTCTGGAATAAACTTGAGAATTCTTTCATAGAAACGCCTCTCATGCACAAAAAATAGCCTATCCGTATAATCGTATGAGCCAACTCCAGGTTATCATAAGTATTATGTATACAGTGTATGATTCAGAAGCAATTAAACCAACAATTAAAAAACTCTCAAGGAGACATTGAAGTCTGATCTCTTCGTAATGTATTAACTACTCCGTATTAAGGACCAATATAAGATGGGAAAGATCTTATAATTTAGAACATTTTCATTTTCGCTCTAATGCCTCTGCCTAATGAATAAGAAGAGCTAAAATATTTAGAGGAAGATCATCAAAAAATCGTATCACAAATGAATGGATTCCTAAGCTGCTAGTTGCTGCCATGTAGTATCAAGTGACAGATGCCTAAAAGCATCTATAGAACTAAATCAACAACTCCACAATATCCACTCATTATTTATTCATAAATTTCAGAAAATATAAAAAATACATATCAGAAAGAATACATATCAAAGTATTTTAATCAAGAAAATCAAAAGGAAATAAATTTCAGAAAAATTTAAAATCTTCATTACGGCATTTTACCAAAGACCATGCGGGCGTTACCTTATGAACAATCCAATGTGTGGTAAACCGAAAGATGCCGAGCTCTTTAAGATTTGAAATAAAACACCAGCAACAAACCTAGTGAAGGAGGGTGACGTCAAGGACCTTCGACCAATTCTGTTCGCTCATCGGTTGGTTTGACGTCAAAGAGCTTTGACTTACTATGTTTGCTCGAGGATGTGTTGATCGATGTATCTGTTAGTACATCAATAGAATCCGTTGTCGTTGTGTTCATCGGTGTAGTGATCCCCGTCGAGGAGCTTCGACATTCTCTGTTCGCGAGTCAAATTTGTGAATAAGGCAATTATTCTAGGGTTCTACGAATAGTTTGAGGATGTAAAGTTAAAGTGAATGAATTGATACAAGCGATTATTATTTAAAGTAGATTCGTCCAGATCGGTTCTATTTGGAATAAGGCATCATTAGTTTTTTAAGCAACTTCTACATCGAGTATAACTGATGTGAAACATAACTTTTTTTTATTCTAAAAAGTACCCCGTTTTTCCTTTCACATCACGTAAGATTGTAACCAATGTAGAAAATTTTATTAAATTCTAAAATGCACCCCGTTTTCCTCTTTGACTTCAGTTATACAAACACCCGATGTAGATTAATTTATTAAAATTGTAAATATGACCCCGTGTGGCTATTCCACATGGGTTATGGGATAACTCATGTTAAAAGTGTGATGTAGAATGCCTTTTTTGTACTAGTGCTAAAGGTTTTTTTAAACCTAGTAGGGGAGTCAAACAAGGGGACCCTCTCTCCCCTATTTTGTTTATCATTGTTTCAGAAGTCCTCACTCGCCATCTAAATTCTCTATTTAATTCTGGTAAGGTGATGCAGTATTACACTCTCAAAGGTATGCCCAATATTAATCATTTATCTTTTGCTGATGATTTGATTGTTTTTGCTAATGCTGAAAAACGTACTCTTACCTTGTTAGAAAAATCAATCAGTGACTATGGAAACTTTTCAGGTCAGCTCATTAGCAAAGATAAGAGTTTTTATATTGTTTCTAAACATGCTAAGAATCATGCCTTTAAGATTGTAGATGATATTTTCAATATTAAAAAAGGTTCCCTCCCTTTTACCTACCTCGGTGCTAATATTTTTACTGGGAGAACACTTGCTTCATACTTTGATCATATTTTAGTCAAAATGGATAATAAGTTGGCTGGATGGAAGCAGAAACTTCTCTCTGTTGGTGGGAGGATGATTCTTATTCAACTTGTTCTTAGTACCCTCCCCCTTTATCATATGGCTGTTTCCCCCCTTCCTCGTACTATTATTCAAAAAATGGAGAGAAAGCTTTCTAACTTTCTGTGGGATAGAAGTACTGATAATCCTAAACACATTTGGCGTAGCTGGAGCTGTTGCTGCTACCCTATTTCTAAAAATGGGCTGGGTTTTCGTAGCTTACAACATACTCAAAATGCCTTCTTTCTTAAATTACAGTGGAAAACCAAGACTAAAAACGGGCTCTGGGCTAATTGGTATAATGCCCTTAAAGACAATACTCGCTCTGTTATGCATAAGGCCCTTAGCTCTATGGAACAAATTTTTTATGATAATGCTTGTATTCAGGTAAACAAGGGAAATAGCTCTTTTTGGTTCTCAAACTGGTGTGAGCTTGGGCCCATTTACCTCCTGCATGATGATATCCCCATTTCTGTGAGTAACCTTACCATAAAAGATGCTATGCATAACAATGACCTGATTCCAGCTATCCATACCTGCCTCCCTAAAATCCTGGCAGATCAAATAAAGGAAACCAAAGTCCATTTTACTGAATGCGATGATGCCTATCTTTGGAAACCTAACCCGAATGGCAAATTCAGTTTTTGTAATGCCTATGATGTTTTAAGGCCCAAAATGAATGAAAACCCCGATTTTAAATTCCTTTGGAACAATCGGACCCCTAAAAAGGTCTCGTTTTTCCTCTGGAGAATCGATAATCGTATTCTTCCATTCGAGGACAAACTTAACCAAATTGGAATTTTTGGACCCTTTAAATGCCCTTTTTGCCCATACGCGGACACCATCAACCATTTTTTCCTTAATTGTTCTTTCAGCAAAAAAGTGTGGAACCACTTTGAATCTATTTTACAATACAAGCCTAATTCTAACAATAATTTTCAAACCTATTTGATGGGCTGGTATAAAGATTTCAAGGGTAAAATTGTTGATTTCAACTATGTCATTCCTAATATGGTTGTTTGGAATCTTTGGAAGATACGAAATCAATTTCTTTATGATAATAAAACGGCCTACCTTCCTGAGGCGATAAATGCTATCAAAACTGACATTTTTGCAATTTCCCATGTTCGACCTTTTCTCTCCAACAATGCTCAAAACACTTTCAACCTTATTACTACTCCACCAAAAAAAACCAAGATAATCCCCAACATTACCATTTGGAATAAGCCTCCTCCTTCCTACCAAAAGATCAACTTTGCCACACGTCATATTAAACAAACTCTTGCAAGAACTGCTGCACTTTTTCGTGATGAATTTGGCACTTACAAAGGTCATATGACATACATCAGCAGCACCAGTGACAATAGCATTGCTGCCTATGATGCCATCTATCAAACCATTATCAATATCAAGAGTAAAAATAAAAATATTATTCTTGAGGTTGATAATAGCGATGTATATGAAGGCATTCGGGGCATTTCACTTCAGCATTGGCGGTATTGGCCTCGTATTCGGAAAATCAAAAGAACCCTTATGGACATTAATTGGACAATTGTACTCATTCATCCAAAGATCAATACAGCCGCAGCCCGCAGAGTACTTAGCTTACAAGAGTATTTCCATAGCTACAAATAATTGTCACTATAATCATTTTGTAGGAATCATAAAATTTGATGCGATTAGTTATCCTTATGTAATCTCATTTGAGTAGGCTTTGGTCTGGTCCTCCTACTCTTTGTACTTCCTTTTCTATTCAATAAAAGGTAGGGTATTTCCTGAAGAAGAAAAAAAATGGAAGGAGGGATCAGAGTGAGAACCAAGTTCCCCCTCCGGCCCCAGCCATCGATCTTCAGGCTGCCTTTGCGGCCTTTGTCCATAACATGGCTCTCAACCCTGGAGCCTTCGTCACTCAGGCACCACTCCAACCCTACTTTGGGGGAAACTCCGTTTGTCTACCACCCCCTCTTATGTTCAACAATCCCATAATGCGGATTGGCAACGCCGAGGGGGTCGTAGCGCAAGACACCACCTCCCAAGAGGTTCAATCCAAGGATAAACATCACAAGGAGAAGCCCCAAACCTCTGCCCTCGAGAGGTTGGGTCAAACTCAAGAGCGCCGAGGGGTCCAAGACCGCCTCGATGGGAAGGCGACCAGCAAACCAATAGAAAGCGGAGGCTCCGTCTAGGGGGCCGAGGAGAGAACTCCCCCTCGGGACAAAGGCAAGCGCCCCCTCCATGCCGACGACGCCAGGCACCAAATCAATCAGGCTCAGTCCTTCCGGGCCAACTCCCAAGGGGTTGCTCCGAAGGATCCCAAAGACGAAATAATCGAGGCCCTCCTCCGTCAGCTCGAGGAGACGCGTTAGGCACCCTCGACGGCTTCCACGCCGGGACCAGATCCGGAGTATGCCGCCCTCTGGGCACAAGTAGAGGAGATGAGGCGCAAATTCGCCGAGGGCTCAGACGAACCCTTCATTCAGCTCCGCACAATGACGCCTTTCACCCCAAGGGTGCTGGCGACTAAGATCCCCAACAAATATCGGGGACAACCCATCAAGCCTTATGAGGGGAAGACGGATCCCCAAGAACACTACAGCAGGTATCAAAACAGTATGATGATGATGGGTGCATCAGATGAATATTTATGTCGTTGGTTCCTTTCCACCTTGGAGGGGCCGACGTATGAATGGTTCAACCGATTACCCGAAGGCAGCATAGATTCATGGCAAGAACTTGCCCATCGCTTCCTCACACAATTCGCCGGAAGGCACCGGTCCAAGAAGCATTTCTCCCATCTCCTTAATGTGAGGCAACAGAAGGAGGAGACCCTTCGGAGTTTCCTCGAGCGCTGGAGGCAAGCCTCCATCGAAGTCGATGGGGCCGATGACAGGACCCTGATGGCCCTCTTCCACACCGTCCTCCGCAACGGTAATTTCTCCAGGACCCTCATTACTGATCCCCCCCGCGATTATACAAAAGCTCTCCAGCGGGGGGACCGATATGCCGAGGCCGAAGAGATTGAGAAGGATCGCCGGAATCCGAAGCCTTCACACAAGAATGATGGCAGAAATCGCCCCGGGGGGGCACCCCCTCCGGCAAACCGCGAGGTGCAATACAACGATCGCCCCCGAGGTGGCCAAGCCAGACCCGGGGTTGGTTACAAGAACAGCCCGAAGGCATGGGCGCAACCCGTCCTCTTGGAGCACCCACGCATCCCCCTGACACACCCCGTCAGCATCATCTTGGATTATGCGGAAGAGCGAGGACTCGTGGAGCGAGACTCCCGTGCACCCCTCGAGGTATATGCCATCAACCCTGACGAACATTATTGCCGTTTTCACCACCACCATGGGCACAAGACTGATGACTGCGATCAGCTAAAGACAGCCATCGAAAGGCTAATACAAGCGGGCCGCTTGTCTCAATTTATCAGGGGCCCTCCTTCTCAGGGGCCCCCTCATCACCAAGGGCCCCTGCCGAAGGCTCATAAGTGGGTGAACTGAAACACCATCCCCTTGGGAAACCCACAGGGGAAGAAGCGAGAAATTGGGAACCTCAGTGAGGAGGAGGATCCCCAACACCAATACAAGCGCCACATTCACATGATCAATGGTGGCAACACCGGAGGCGACTCCACGAGCCAGAGAAAGAAATGGGCTCAATCCCTTTACATCGGGGAACTCAACCGCATGCCCCCGACAAAGAGGCCGAGGGCGGATCCTATCTATTTTACAGATTCGGATCTGCCCCCGGGATCCCTTCCTCGCAGGGATGCCCTCGTCATCCGCACTGAGATCAATAATGCCATCATCCTCCGCACTTATGTTGACACCGGAAGTTCCGTCAACGTAATGTACCTCAGCACCTTCCAGGAGTTGGAACTTGACAGGGGTAGCCTTCGGCACATCAACACCCCCCTCTCCGGTTTCACGGGGGACAGCATAGACGCCGAAGGCGTCATCACCCTTATGGTTGAATTCGGCGACGGATCCCATAAAGCCAAGCTCGAAGTGGAATTCGTCGTCGTTAACCTCGACTGCGCACATAACATCATCCTCGGCCGTCCTGCCCTCGAGGATTTGGAAGCTGTCATCTCCATGAGGCACCTCTGCCTCAAATTCCCCACACCCACCGGCATCGGTTACTCGAGGGGGAATCAGAAGCTCCGAAGGGAATGCTACCTTCAGCTCACTAGGAAGGTTAGTAAAACTGAACTCCGCATTGATACAATCACCACCAATGCCCTGGAAGAGGAAGAAGGCAGGCCGAGGGCCAAACCGGCCGAGGAAACTGAAGACTTTATGCTCGATCCGGCCAAGCCGGAGAGAGTCTTGAAGATTGGAGCCAAGCTCCCCGAAGACCTGAAGACCGGCATTGCCGAGGCCCTCCGCGCCTACTCCATTGTTTTTGCATGGGGGCCGGAGGACATGCCGGGAATCGACCGAAGGGTCATCACTCACCGCCTAGCGGTAGACCCTTCGGCCAAACCGATACAGCAAAGGAGAAGGCCCCTCTCGGCCGAGAGAAGGGACTTTGTCAAGAAAGAGGTCGACATGCTCCTCTCCATCAAGCACATCAAGGAGGTGAAATATCCTTCGTGGTTAGATAATGTGGTATTAGCACAGAAGCCACCCACCTTCCGCATGTGTGTGGACTACACCGACTTGAATAAGGCGTGCCCTATGGACCCCTTCCCTCTACCAAACATTGATCAGCTGGTAGATGAGACCGCGGGGTGCAAAATCATGTCATTCCTCGACGCATTCCGAGGCTATCATCAAATCTACATGCATGAAGATGATGCCAAAAAAAACAGCCTTCATGACACCCGAAGGCATCTTTTGCTATCTTGTAATGGCCTTCGGCCTCAAGAATTCAGGCGCCACATACACGCGCATGGTGGCCAGGGTTTTCCAAGCTGTCTTAGGACGCACCATGGAGGCCTATGTTGATGACATGATCGTCAAAAGCAAAAAATCGAACACCCACGCCGAGGACCTCTGGGAGATATTCGCCATCATGCAAAAATTCAACCTACGGTTGAATCCTAAAAAATGCACCTTCGGCATACAAGGGGGAAAGTTTTTGGGCTATATGTAACACCGTCCCCAAATGTATTTACTTTTACGTAAATGATGTAATAAACCTTATGGAATGATTTATGAATTTACGAAGTTGTAAATTTTTATTTATTCTTTCGCGTGAATAGTAAATTGCACGTGGGACCCACACCGGGAGCGGGGGCCGCCCGACATTCCCGAGACCATATATTTTATTCATCTTGGTCTAGATAATAAATATATAGTGGTGGATATTTCATTTGGGCCATGGAAAGGCCCAGAGTTGACCGATCGGTCAAAAGAAGCCCAAATTACTGGTACTGGTAATTTAACGGATAACGGCCCGAACTGAATTTCGGAGGCTTATAAATTAAAGTTGGGGAATGTATATTCATTATACATGTCACAATGAGTAAGAGCACATAATATATTTTATTTGACCCGATAAAATAAAATATATTTAAAACAGTCCGAAAAATACAACTTTCGGGACAAATTGTACACGTCGGGGCAAAAAGGGTTGACCTCCCACATGAGTGGGGGCAACCCACGATTTTTGCCACTCAAATTGAGGGCTTGGTCGGCTGGTTGAAGAGGAGAGCATGGGAGGGAGAGGTTGACATGATCTAAAAGGCATCAAACAAAAATGAGGTGGCCCCCCATCCACACTCATTTGTTCAATGAGACAAAGGGGTAAGCCTCACCCCTCTCTCCCCCATTTCGGCCAAGCTACAGCAAGAAGAGAAAGAAAACTCTTCTTCTTCCTTCCTCCATTGTTGAAGAGAGCTCATCAAGGAAGAATCACCCAAAAAGGAGCTAAGGTGCTAAAAGTGTGAAAAGATTAAGGTAATGACCTTATTATAACTTCCTCTCTATTTTTCTTCTACCATATGAGATATATATCATGTGGAGAATCCTTAAGAGGGTTCTACATGTTATAAGTATGGATTAATGGGTTGGAAAGTGATTCTATGTCCAAGAACGGACTTAGAAGCCAAAACGACCGGTTCACCGGAAAATAACCTTTTATAGGTTATTTGTATTGATTAAGGTTTTATGATGTTAAAACCTTGTTAGGCACTTGTAAAGGGTATTTCAAGTGACTTCACAAAGTTGGAAAAGTCGCCGGAATTGTCGCCGGAGTTGACCAAAAGTCACCGGAGTTTCACCGGAGTTCAACCAAGAGGGGTAGAACTTCATACGCTAGTTCAAGGTGAGTGGACGGCTAAATATCTTATAACTTTTGGGTTAATTATGAGATTACCTAAATAAATGTTATATGATTTCATAATGATGTTTAAAAGATATTTAAACATGGGATTAGCCAATAGGGTTAAGTTTGTATGAAAGAAATTAATTGTTGATGCATGGAATATGATATGAAGAATTATATGAAATGCATATTTGCTTGAAGTATATTAGAAGCACAAATGAATATTATCAACTTAATTACATGATGATTAAGTTGATACACACAAGACATGAAATGGCGGTCAACGAAAACGTGGACCGAAGAACAAAGGATTTAATTAATACCGGTTGGTATTAATTAATTATAAATCTATATAAATGCATGGTTTGCATGGATTGTGATACATAAGATTTATGTATTGGATTAGTTACGAGTAACTAAGTATGATATAGACTCTATCTAGGTTGATAGGAGGTTGATCATAGGAAAACTTGGTGGAGGACCCTAGTACTTAAAAAGTACTTAACACTCAAAACTTGGTGGAGGACCCTAGTACTTAAAAAGTACTTAACACTCAAAACTTGGTGGAGGACCCTAGTACTTAAAAAGTACTTAACACTCAAAACTTGGTGGAGGACCCTAGTACTTAAAAAGTACTTAACACTCAAAACTTGGTGGAGGACCCTAGTACTTAAAAGTACTTAACACTCAAAACTTGGTGGAGGACCCTAGGACTTAAAGTCCTTAACACTCAAACTTGGTGGAGGACCCTAGTACTTAAAAGTACTTAACACTCAAAACTTGGTGGAGGACCCTAGGACTTATGAGTCCTTAACACTCACAAACCGGTGGAGTATCCAAGGATTATGATCCTAAAACTCATAGATTGTGATATACAAGTAGGGACAAGGAGGAGTCCTATACACTCATAGGTATATGGGTGGGTTGGGGTTTTTAGTCAAGAATATTGACTATTACTATTTTTCCCAAATAAAATGGTGATCTACGGATCGTATATTTTCCAAGTATATATATGCTAATAAGTATTTCATAACTTGGGGAAAAGACTATTTATTTAAGTATCACCCTATGTTTGGGTCTTATACTTGAAACGCTAGTTATTCTATATTTAGCCTGCTACTCGCTCGGTACTTGTACTGACCCCTTCGGGGGGGCCCACCATTTTCAGGTTGAAGCTAGGGCTTGCTACCTGCACCTTTCTACGGGTGACATCAAGTCAAGGAAGACGTGGTTCGTGCTTCCTCACTTCCTTTCAAATTACTAAACATTGCTCATGGATATTTTTATTTGTTATAAACTATATTTGGGGCTTGCATGCCCATGTTGTTGGCCGGTTGTGGCTTATGACTTACCGTTGAATATTTCCGCTATTCATTGGTTTAAATGCGATGTTGTTACGTATGTTTACTACTGAGTATGGATGGTTTATATTCTCGAACGCCTTGTGTAATTAAGTGAGGTTGACTCGCGGGTGACGTCACTTGATTATACGGCGGTTGTACACGCGCTTGGATTGCGGTCTGGGGCGTGACACTATATGGTTAGCCGAAGGTGGATTGAGGCCAACCCCGAGAAAATTCAGGCCATCATCAACATGGAGCCTCCACGCAATGTCAAGGAAGTTCAACGGTTGACGGGTCGCTTGGAGGCCCTCAACCGCTTTCTCTCCATATCAGCAGAAAAGGCCCTCCCCTTCTTCCAAATCATGAGGAAGACAGCAGGCTTCCAATGGACAACTGAGTGTCAAGAGGCCTTCGAAGAGCTGAAGAAGTACCTCTCTTCTCCCCCTGTGCTCTCCAAACCCAAGGTGGGAGAGACCTTATACCTTTATCTTGGCGTCAGCCCTGCAGCCATCAGCTCAGTACTCATCCGGGAGGAAGATGACGTCCAACATGCCATCTTCTATGTTAGCAAGACCCTCAGGGAAGCAGAACTCAGGTACTCCCCTGTGGAAAAAAACGGTCCTAGCCATTGTTTGGACCGTCAAGAAGCTCGGCCACTACTTTCAAGCTCATCCGGTCCAAGTGCTCACACACCAACCCCTCGGCGCCCTCATGAGGAGCCCCACAAGCTCCTCCCGAATGGTGAAATGGGCCATCTTCCTTAGCCAGTACAACATAGACATTCGTCCGAGGCCTGCCATCAAGGGCCAAGCCCTGGCAGACTTCGTCACAGAATGCACCGCAAGATCAGCGGTGGATGAGGAGCCTTCGGCCCCTCTAGACGAGTGGTGGATCCTCTATACCATGGCTCCTCTGCTACCAAAGCATGCGGGGGAGGAGTGGTTCTCATTACACCCGAAGGCTTTCGCGCCTATTATGCCATCCGCTTCTCCTTTAAAGTGTCCAACAACGAAGCCGAGTACGGGGCCCTCCTTTGTGGCCTTCGGCTAGCAGCAAATCTGAGGGCCAGAATGATCCACGTCAAATGCGACTCAAAACTTGTCGTGGGCCAAATCTCCGGAGAGTATGAGGCCAAGGAAGGAAGAATGAAACAATACAAAGAAGCGGCCAAGGAATTGCTTAAGGTATTTGAGACACACTCCCTCACCCAAATACCGAGGGCTCAAAACTCGGAGGCTGACATTCTCTTAAAACTCTCGGCTGAGTCCCCCGAACACCTCTCCAAGATAGCAAGGATTGAGGAGCTCAGCCTCTCAAGCATACATGCAAGCCCCATCATGGATATACATCTCAGGCCGGAGGACTGGGTCTCCGATATCATCACCTTCATCATCACAGGGCAACTTCCCGAGGATGAGGCCCGCGCCAAATTAGCAAAGCTGAGGGCTCCCGACTACACCCTCGAGAATGGGAGGCTATACAAGAGATCTTACAATGGCACCCTCCTTCGGTGCCTTCATCAAGATGAAGCCGAGGTTGCAATGAAGGAAGTGCACAGTGGCACTTGCTCAGCTCACCAGGGACCCTTCTCCATGTCCCGAAGGCTCATAGTTCAAGGCTACTTTCGGCCCACCATGGCCCGTGACTGTGCAAATCTTGCCCGAAGGTGTACCGCTTGCCAACACTTTCAGAAGGCCAGCGGTCAACTATGCCCCCATCAGCACTGCTATACCCTTCTCCAGATGGGGGATTGACCTAGTCGGCCCTCTGCCGAGGGGTACCTCCAACAACAGGTACATCATCGTGGCCATTGACTACTTCACTAAGTGGGTGGAAGCTGAGCCCCTCGCCAGCATCACCGAGGCCAGGTGCCGTCACTTCGTCCTCATGAACATCCTCACAAGGTTTGGCGTCCCCCAACAAATCATCTCCGACAATGGGACTCAATTCGAGGCAGCCCCCTTCTGTGCCCTCCTCGAGGCATGGGGCATCAAACACACCTTCTCATCCGTTGCCTACCCTCAGGGCAACGGACAGGTGGAGAACGCCAACCGAACTTTGCTGGAGGGTCTGAAAAAGAAACTTGAAGCCGAAGGAGGAGGCTGGGTAGAAGAGCTCCACAACATTCTATGGGCCTACCGCACCACCTCTAGACGTGCAACGGGTGAAACACCCTTCTCCCTATGTTATGGCTTTGAAGCTAAGGCTCCAACAGAAGTGACTCTGCCCACCCGAAGGGTGGAGCAATACGAACCTGAGGTCAACGGCGCCAACATGGCCCTCGACCTTCACCTCATCTCAGAACGCCGAGAGCAAGCCTTCCTCCGGGCTGAAAACTATAGGCGCCAAGTCAAGGGTTACATCGACGCCAAAGTTCGTTCCCGAGAGTTCCAGGTGGGGGACTACGTCCTCCGGCGAAGGAAGGCTAACCTACCAACCGAAGGGGGGAAAATGGCCCCTAAATTCGAAGGCCCCTACATCGTCGCCGCCATCATCAAACCAGGAACTTACAAACTCAAACGCCCCAATGGGACGGAGGTCCCTAGACATTGGAATGTACACCACCTTGTCAAATTCTATCAGTGAACATGAGCGGCCAAGCCCTCATCCTCCACATATGTACATGATCGACGGCCCAAGGCCCCATTTCATTTTGAGAAAATGGTCAAAAGGCCAAGCCTTCATCACCTATATGTTTCACAAGCGGCCCAAGTCCCCCTCCTCTCCAAAAATGAGTGGTCAAGCCCTCATCTCCTCACCGAAATAGGCCCAAGGCCCCTTCCTCTCATGAGGAGGAACACAATATAACATCACCAATCAAGGTACCAAGTACCAGGTGTGCGGGTTACCCCCATCACTCTTTAAAAACACCAAGTGTTTTTAACTAAGCCGTGCCCCACGAGGACGCCCTCATGCATACATTATGCATATTTATACATACTCTCCAAAAAAAAAATACCGGGGGGTACAATACCCCTCGGCTCCGGCTGGCACCAAGTGCCCCCGGCTATTTGTGTTCCACACACAAATAAAACCCTTCCCAGAAATGCTTTCCGCGCCATCCCCGAAGGGGAGGCAGGCAACGGACCATGTCCCGGGCCCAAGATTCGACTTTCACAAACGAAACGCTCCCCGCGCTATCCCCCAAGGGGAAGCAGGCAATAGACCATGTCTCGGGCTGAGGGGACGACTTTCAAAACCGAGGCGCTTTCCGTGCTATCCCCCAAGGGGAAGCAGGCAACAGACGATGTCTCGGGCCGAGGAAACGACCCTCAATCCCTTCGGGATATCGGAAGGTCAATCCCGAGGGGGGAGCCAACGGTTTGTTCCGTTGCCTCCCATATAGGCCAAGCCTTTCCTCGAAACCAAGTTTCTTGATGCCCCTCCTACAGCATTTAAAAAAAATGTGTAGGGGGGGGAGGAACTCCCTGGATACTATTCTCCTCGGAGGCTCAACAACAATTCGGAGATATACTCCCGAAGGCTCTCATAAAGATACAAAGGAATCTCCCAACACAAAGTCATTCAACCACATACCCGAAGCCTCCACTAAACGAAGGCTCACCAGCAACACTTTACCAAAATTTGGCTAAGTCCAAAATTTGGCTGAGTCAAGGCGACAAATAAACCATATGCCGAAGGCTCCCTCACTTCCAAGATTATTGCACCAGAAGGCTACTCTATCTCACACGCCCGAAGGCTTGCCCTGTGGTCCGTGAGACAACTTCATGAATCTTACTATGGCAGGGGGCTCATTAGACTCCTACATCCGAAGGTCTACCACAACATCTGTTGAATCTTTGTGGAAATTTGGCTAAGTCCACAATTTGAACCCCTCGGTGGGCAACCGTGGACTTCATTACTACCAACAGGCTTACAGCCGAAGACAACCTCAAACTACTCGACGAGGACCTAAAGCTACACTACAAGTCGAAGGCTCAACACCGTCGATGGCCTAGGGTGAAATTAGCTTGGAAAATTTCCTAAGTCTAATTCATTCTAACCCTCGGTCCTACTACTACAACCCGGAGGCGATTCCAATGGTTCATTGCCGAAGGCATACAATGGAATCTTACTTGGAAAATTTTCTAAGTCCACAACTACAAGCCCCCGGTGAGCCTAAACTGTGACCGAAGGCTCGTTGCAAAGTCTCTTACTTAGAAAATTTTCTAAGTCCACAACTACAAGCCCCCGGTGAGCCTAAACTGCGACCGAAGGCTCGTTGCAAAGTCTCTTACTTAGAAAATTTTCTAAGCCCACAACTGTGACACCCCGAAAATTTAAATAAAATAAAATCGATAATTTGAGTGATTAGATAAAACTTTGATTTAAATAATAAAAGTGACATTTTGGAAAATAGTAATAATAAAACAATGCATACACGGTACATAATATGCGTATGACACACCTAACACATACATGTACGTACATTTGATAATAATACCCCAGTAGTATAGAAAATTAACTATCCAATGGACCAATACCCATATAATTAAATCCCTGCGTATGTTTATTCATGAATTGGGTATTGGGTATATAATACTTCCTCCGTTCCTTTTTAATTGCAACAGTCAACATTTCACGTTTGCCAACGCACAAGTTTGACCATTAATATCTTTCATTCCTTATTAGTAAAAAAAAATAAAAATTTCATATTTTGAAAAATTAGAATGAGAAGAATTTAACAATATTTTTTAAAAATTTAATTTATTATACATCAATTAATAAAATGTAGTCAAAGTAGAACATGTGAATAGTGCAAAAAGTCCAATGTTGCAACTAAAAGAGAACGGAGGTAGTATAATGTTTGGGCTGCCAAGCCTTCGTATGTACGTACAAAACCCTAAAGCTAGAACCTTCCAATGCAACCTGAGCGTATAAATACTTGCGGAAGACGACGCCTCCACCAGCGTATTATATACTTCGTATTCCCTATACGGACGAAGAAAACTGCGGAAACAGACCAACGTCTTCGCCGGAGGAGTGATACGAAACTCGCCAGGAGTGCTGATATGAGACCACGGCTGCCGTCAAATATTACCGGCGTCGCCGACCAGTCCGACGCTGAGCAGACGTGACTGTAGGGAAAACGCCGAGCATCGTTGCTCCTGTTTCTGTGAACCTCGATCAACGAAAGACACAGTACGTAGCCAGAGGAACGGATAGGAAACTCGCCAGAGCAGGCACGAACCGCCAGAGAAGCAAAGAAACATCGTCGGAATCAAACTCAGTTGTTACATACGGCGGGTCCAGAGTCCGGCCAGACTGCCGCCGGAGCCGAGAGACATCGTTCTTAACGCCGAAGGAATGTATCGGAGCTGAGAATCTGAACGCTTGTACGTGCTGGTTCACGTAAATGACGAACGAAGCGTACGTAACTCATTCTTATACTCCATATATAATACGAAGTACGTAGTACCACGCATACGTAAGTTTATTTTACACCTGTGGGCTGGAGTCTGGTAAACTTTGTATTGAGAATTATTGCATTAGTGGTCTGGCTGAATGAGATAACCTTTTAATAAAAAGAAACTGACTTTATCGGCCGGGCTTTTATTTCTAAGACAAAAATATTTATAAGAATAGCCAGTTTAAATGAATACATTATGGTACGTCGTTTAATAGTAGTAGATGGCTATTAACCAACTAAATTATTACGGAGTATTATAGAGATAAATCATAAGGGAATTCTTATAAAAAAAGGGTGATGGAATTTAAGTCTATGTGACATCGATATTGATACTAGCATAATTATTAATTAATAGAAGGTGAACTTGGAGAGGAGGCTAGGCCGTTAGAGAAGCTTGTTAGGACTATTTGGAATTTGAGGTAAGTTTCATTGCAACCAAAATTATACCTTTTACCTCGTAATTATTTTGAATGTTTTAATGTACTGTTTGAGTAATGTATTTATGTGTATTAAATTTGGGTAAATGTTATTCTATATGAAGTTATTGTATTTGAGATATTGGTTGTTATTATTGGATTTTGATACAAGTTATTGTATATGATTTTTGGGAGATTTTTCTACGGATGAATATTTTGGTATCGTGAGTAAATTGAATTTTGAGAAAATATATGGAAATTTTAGCGTATTTTTGAAAGATACGAACTTTTGATTGGATTTTGAGAAAACAAAGAAAAATTAATATTTTGACACTGATGTCTATAAGGCATAAATATTGAGTTTTGGAAAGACAAGATAAAAGACTGTTTTCATAATTGGGGCACCGCGGGAGAAATCCGCAGGTGTCGGGCCACCTTCACGTCCGTTAATGGTGAGGGAGGGTTAGGACTACTACTACTTGAACTGAGAGGTGTGAAACAAATTAAACAAATTTTTGGAGGGTTCGGTAACCACCCCGAACAACTAGGCATTAGATCCCATTTATTAGAGCAGTAGTAGTAGTAGTACCTATTCTCTTAAGGGTCTTTGAACCTAGAACTTAGGGAGTATATCCCATTTGGAGTAGGGAGACGTTGATGTCAGAACTACTTAGACTTCATACTACTCGGAGGGCTTGGAATCCCTTTAGGGGGTGTGCACACTTAAGGTAGAAGTCTAGATTCTAACAGAGGAGATGAGGGTACCGAGAGCAGATCGGAGTGACCGTACAAAACAACGGATCACTGGGCTCAAGAATCGAAATAACGCTTGAGCACAGCCCTTCTAAATGAACTAGGAGAATTAGCTATAAAGCTATTTTGAGGTAAATCAAATGTTTTGGTATTTTATTAATTGTGAATTTCTTAAGTACAAATACTTGTGATATTGGTTTGGAAAACATATTTGTGGATATTGACTATGTGTTTTGTAAGAATTGTGATAAAGTGCTTAAGTAAGTTTTGAGATGGATATTTGGAGTTGTGTATATGATATATGCTTTGGAATATTTATGAGAGTTTTTATTACATTTTCTAATGTTGGAATTACTATGATTTGGAATATTATTATTTTACATATGAATTATGTTATGAAGATTTACTATAAATATTGTTTTACTTATGATTGGTATGAATGTTTTGAAAAGATTTTCCTCCCAAATGTTTTGCAAAAAAAATTATATATATGTATCAAACGTGATTATTTTACGGGGTTGGGGTGTGACTTACTTAGCATTTCCGGCTAATTTTTGTTTCTTTGTTTTTCTTTCTTTTCCTGTACTTTATTTGTGCAGGAGATGAAGCTTGAGTATCTAATTGATGATGATGTTGATTTCGAGAGAGCTCCCGCTAGAGAAAATGTAATTAGTAGATAACACCATAGTTTAATTTAATTTTCAAGACACTTATTGAGTTTAATTGTTTCTGTGGTGATTAGTCTGTGCACTCGGTTAGGTTAGAGCCGAGTGTGGCGGTAACGCCCCTATTTCCCTTTTGGTTTTTCTGCTGCACAATTCTGATGTTTTCAAATAAAATTAATAATAAAGTATTATTTCAAAGTGTTTTTGGGTGGGAAATTTGGGGGTTTTACAACAACCACAAGCCCCCGAAGATTCTACACTATAGCCGAAGGCTTCTGGCCAAGTTTTAACTTAGAAATTTTTCTAAGTCCACAACTTCCTAGCCTTCGAACAGACATATCAAAGCATACATAAGAAAGGACGAAGGCATACATTCATTCAAGTGGCTCGAAGGCATGACAACTGTTGTCACTTAGAAAATTCTCTAAGTCCACAACCACAAGCCCCCGGTGATGCTACAATATAACCGAAGGCTTGTTGTCAAGTTACTACTTAGAAAATTTTCTAAGTCCAGAAACTTGTGGCCTCCGGGCAAACGGGTGAAAGAAAGAAAAGCATACATTCATACACGAAAGCAAGGAAACAAAGGCACATATATTAAAAAGCCCGAAGGCGCATCATCATTCAAATATTCGAAAGTGCAAAACAGAAGTTGGTTTACAATACAAGGCCGAAGCCATAGCCTACTAATCTATTACATTACAAGAAATATTTCAAGGATCAGCTGCTTGGCCATCACCCCTCGGCTTCGAGTCAGCATCCTCCCCGGCTTCCTCCTCATCATCATCGGCCTCTTTCATCAGTTCAGAGTCCTCCAGGTCTGGTCTCTCTGCGCCCGGAGGGAGGGGAATCCTTGTGTCCAGCTGAAGGGGGGCAGACCATAGGTGGCGGGATTAAAGTCCTTGGGGTCAATCTCGAAGTGTCGGGCGAGCCTCCAGTAGACGAGCCATTGGGTAAAGAACTCGCCCCCATCATAGTACTCTTTGCCCTTCCGGGCCAGCCGCATAGCTCCGGGGCCCTTCACCCAGGCATCCACCTTCTGCTCCACCACCGAGGCCACCCACCCCTTGTGGTCTTCCGCCAGCCAGCCCTCGGTGAGGAAGGCCTCAACCGCTTTCTTCTTGGCATTAGCGACCGCCTCGGCCTTGGCATTGTCGGCGGGCCTCGGCAGCACTCTAAGCAGCGGCGGCAGCGGCCTCCTCAGCCGTGGTCTTGCCCTTGGCTTCGGCATCTTTCAGCCTTTGTTCCATGGCCTCCTTCTCCAGCCGAAGGGCCTCCTCGGCATCAGCGAGCCGCTTCCTGAGGGCGGAGATCTCCTCATCGGATTTCTTTAGGGCCTTGTCTGCTTGGCCCTTCGCTATCCTAAGCTGTTCCACCCTCCGGGCCTGCTCAAAAGCAGCCAAGGCAGCCTGCAAGGAAAAAAGACCCTCGGCGTCAGAAAATTCGCCCAAAGCCGCATCATAAGATTATCACCAGGGTACTTAAAAATTTTGAAAAAAGAATAAAGGAGGGAATAAGGCTCACCATGGTGGTGTAGCTGGCGACTTTGTGATCAAGGATATCATCCTCGAAGTGAGCCAGCACGGACCTGTCCTTCGAGGACATCACTCCCCTCATGAACCCAACGGGGTGCAGAGTGCCATGCAAGACGGAGGTCCCCGACTTGATAGGGAACTGGACAATCTCCGCCGGCCGAATTTCCTCATCAATAGGAGATGGAGGAGAACGAGGGGGGCGTGGTAGCCGGGGGGCGAAAAGAGGGCTGATCCTCAGTTATCAGGATGGGGGCCTCCTTTTCCCCCTCACCTCTCTTCTTCTTCCTCTTCTCCGGAGGCATGACGCCCTTTCCGTTGTTCTTTCGCTTCAGCTCCTCAATCTTGGAGCCCCCGGCCTCCACATGGGCATCAGTGCCGACATCGGCACCCTTTGAAGGGCCCTCGGCGTCTGTGTCCTTTGCAGCCCCCGACTTCTGGAAAAACTCGTCAACGGCCTTCTGTTGGGGAGGCCCCTCTTTCTTTTTGGCCTCCTTCGCCATTTGCTTCTTCAGTATGGCAAGGGACTTGGCATCCATCTCAGGACCTGCGAAAAACAAGCAAATGTCACATTATAGCGGCATAATAACAACAAAAAGAATGACGATAGGAAAAATTCCTAAGTATGGAAATGGGAAAGCCTTCGACGACAACCTTCGGCACTCTGGAACACTCGGTCTATCGATGGATACTTCTCATCTTTCTCCCCCATCAGTCGAAACCGCCGAAAGCCCAACAAATAGAGCTCGTCTGGAAGGGTGGCAGCCTTTATCGCCAGCAACTTCTCTGACCCTTCGGGTTTTGCCGCCAGCTTTTTCCCAGCCTTCTCGAGGGCATAATTCCTGACCTTCAGATGCCTCCGGAAGTGATCACGTAGGGGCCTCGGGAAGTGGTTGTCCGCCATCCGTATGTAACAAAAACGGTCCTTCCATCCCTTGTGGGACGACGGGATCTCAGAAAACAATCTCCATGCAGGGACTTGCTGTAGATTGGCGAACCCTTCCGCATGTGAGTGTCCCCCTCGGCATAGGTTGAAGGAAAGGAAGAATTGATCAAGGGTCGGCTCCACCTCCCAGGACCGGCAGAGAGAGAGGGAGCCGGAGATATACGAATGACTGTTAGGGGTCAGCTGGCAGGGGGCCAACCCTAGGAATCGAAGGTACTCCAACAGGAAAGGATGGAGGGGAAACCGGAGGCCTAGGTCTACGGAAAGAATGTGGACAGAAAAGCACCCCTCGGGCGGGCTAGATAACAAGTCATTGGGCCCCGGTTCCACCACTTGAGCGAGGGGCCCGACCAGGAACTGGGTGGCCTGGTAATCGGCAGCTGTGGCCTTCGTCTTCATTGCGAGGGCCGTTGTATTCAAATATGAGTGGCCTTCGGGTATCCCCACCGGCTCGCATCGATGGCAGCCTGTTTTTTCTTCGGCGCCGCCCTCACCTTTTTCTTCTTCTTGCCCGGGGCAACCCTAAGAGGTTCCGGGTTAAGCGGCCGAGAGCTACTAGCTTCACCAGCATCTCGGGGGGGGGGGGGGGGGGGGGGGGGGGGCAGAACAGCAACGGTTACTTGTTGCCTCTCCTTTTCTTCCTCTTCCTCGGCCACCTGTAGCGCGAGGGCCATCTCCTCGTCTTCAACCACCTGTTCAAAATCTTCCGCTTCCAGCTCCGTCAGAAGGTTGCCTTGAATTTCTTCGGCCACAGCGGAATCATTGGGTGACGACGGCTCTTCGCTCGAAGACTCCATGTCCGGGTGGCTCTCTTGCTGCACCGAGGGCTCCCTCGATATGTTCTGAGAGTTGCTACTGGAAGACATCTTGACTGACGGGGGTTGACAAGTTCAGAAGGGAAGAAATTCCTAGAGGCTCTAACACAAGATCTAGAAGCTGGGGAGCAAAATATGCTACAGAAGCGAAGAACAAGTGGAGAACTGACATTGAGAATTCGGATTCGATCAAAAAGGACTTTCTCTCTCTAGAAATATTTGGGCAGAGCTTCGCTTCAATGAGATCGCACAAGGCAAATGGGTTCCGCCTTGGGGTATTTATAGGCTTCCCAACCATGGTTAGCCTCGAAGCATGGGCCTCGGGTTAAAAGCCCATCATTACGGGCCGCCGCCTCACCCAATGCGTGGCACCTGCCCGCCTTCAGCCAACGGTATCAAGCCATGTTGACCACACCTCCAATGGTCATATCCTAACGGCTACATTTGTGAGATATGGAGAGGCCCCCAGATGATAGCCTTCGGCTTTCATCCACTGATGCCCCCGGTGAACAATTTTCACTAAATGCCTTCGAGTAAGCAGCAGCAGAAGCCTTCGGCTTATCAATGTTGCCACTCATGAGGGTACATCAAATGAGAGCCTCTGGTTATCACCCATTCCATCCCTCGGTGGCTATATGTTACACAATGCCTCCGGTCATAACTCCTTCAGCCCGAACCTGCCTTCGGTCTAAAGGAGTGGGGGACTGGGATACACCCCTCGGGAGTCACACAGAACTAAAAATTCCCAAATGCCAAAATCTACAAGTAACACATACAGCCTCCGGGCAAACATCAAAGGAGAACCCCTCGGGTACATACTTCACTATACCCTTCGGCAGAAGCGAAATATAAAAAATTTTCCACAAGTCACTTGTAGTGATGAAGCAGCCTCCATCACAACACATGCAGGCAATTCATCTATGCTTCCCTAAGAAAACCCCCGACATGTGGGGGACTGAGGGGAAGCCCTCGGCAAATACCAGTAAAAGCTCTCCGGTAAAACGTAGGCCTTCGGCGGAGCCAACGCATCAACACAATTACTCCTTTTCCCTCAAGTACCTTTCAGCAAATGGAGTGGGGGACTCCTGATGGAGTATATGGCCCGGAAACCCCCCGCCCACAGACTCCTACTTCTCCTGCGCAGGCCCAATGAGCCCAATACACGCCCAGGGCCCAAATGCAGCGATCCAAGTGTCAAGAAGCTCACAATGCGCACAGGGGTGCCTTCGGCCTCCCTGGCCGAGGGCTCCAGAATACACAGGGCAACCAGATTTGAGCATACGAAGCTACTGGGAGAAAATGGCGTGAAACAGTACCCCTTGGCTACTAGGAGCCTTCGGCACACATGGTGCCTTCGGCATCAGGGACTCCTCCGGCCGAACATCGCCCTCGGCTGCACAGGGCCCTCGGCCAACAGCTCAATCATCGAAGATTCCCTTTAGAGACAAGCAACCACCGCATTTAATGCGGCGTCACATCCACCCACCGCAATCAATGCGGTGCACATGCGAATGCCAGTGCCACCCGATTGAGGTGACCCCTCGGCCGTTGGATTATCGCCACGTGTACTCTCATCGCATTTATTACTACTATAAATAGCACCCCCTTTTCCCATTGTAAAGGACCAGAACATCTCGAGTTCATAAATATAATCGCCTCTCTCCTACTTGTTTGCTCTGACTTCTCTCTAAGTTATTCCCGCAATAACCCCTCGGATAAGCTACCCCCCGGGTACACTGTCCACCAATTATAGTGAAGGATTTCGAACTAAATTAGTTTCGGGTAAAATTAAATTATTTTAATTTAAAATAATTAATAATTAGATTAGAAATTTCGGGTAGAATTATATATTAAAGAATGGCACAAATATTACTTATGAACTTTAATTGACAAAAATGTGACCATTTTTATTGAAGATTTTTTAATTGTGATCAAGTTTGTCTAAGTCTTGTTTATTATTTAGATTAATTATAGGATTTTATAGTATTTAGCTTATTATAATAAATAGCCTAGAAAAAAATGAGCCAAATATGTTAGGTCCATATTCCTAGGGTTTAGGCCTTATTTCGATAAGCTGCACACATGCACCTATAAATACGCGAATAAGGTGTACATCGCCGAATAATCCACAATAGCAATCAGCATTCTATCCTTTCACTCTGTAAAGTTTCTCGATATAAATAGAAAGCCAGAATTCACTTCTTGATATAATAGAAAGCCATAATTCAATTCTCGATAATCTTCCATATCATTGTTTGAATCTCTATTTTCTTTGTATCGATGAAATCCATTCTATAGTTGATCGATTATCACACACATTTGGGACCAACAACTGGTATCAGAGCTGATCAAGTGAAGATTGTCTGCAAAGAAGAACTACGAAAATGCTCTGTTTATGAGTTTTCAATATTTTCTTCTTTTAGCTCTTGTAATCTTGTTTCTGCTCATTTTAGTGTAAAAGACATACTATTGAAATCACCAACTCAAAACGATCAAGCATTATATCTTCATTTTAAATTTTTGTAAACTTTGACTTTTCGATTTCTCGATATCATAGTATAGAAAAACAGGTTTCTAAAGCTTCAGAAAGGTTTTTCGATTCGAAAACTATTCAGGACATTTCTCGACATACAAGTTTTCGCAGCTGGAGTTTTTTTATCTGCATAATTTAAAATTTTCAAAGTGCAGTATCTCGATATTCAGGATTTCGACATCTCAATTCTCGAATTGAGTTTCTCAATATCAGTTCCTCGATTAATAATTTTTCAATATTTGATTTCTCGATATTTGATTTTGATATACAGGTTCTCGACACAGCTTCTTGATAAACAAGTTCTCGAATTTGATATCTCGAATCTGATTTCTCGATAGCAAAGTTTCTCGAACCTCTTTCTCGAAATCAAGTTTCTCGAAGTCTTCTATCAAAAACCTCTTTCTCGATAAACTTTTCTCGAACTTAGGTTTTCGAAGTCTAGATTTTCGATATTCTGTTTTTGAACTCTGAATTTCTGTTAGAGATCTAATCAACCACTCGACGGTCAATTTTTGAAGAACAGAATGGACGCTTTATCACTTGGAAACGATAGCAGACCCCCGATCCTAAGAAGAGGAGAATATCTGATGTGGGAGAATCAGTTTCTGAACTCTCTTGAAAGTAAAGACAATTCATCAACGATGCTCGAATCATTGAACCAAGGACCCACTGAGATTTGGATGACCGTAGGTGGAGACGATATTAACAATCCTCGAGTTGACCCGGTTAGAAAATTGAAGATGAGTACACTGATGATGACAAACTGAGAGTGAAAGCTGACCTGATGACCATGACATACCTGCTTGAAGCAATTCCCAACGATATCTACATTCTGATAGAAAGCATGGAAACAACATAGGAAATGTGGGATGTAGTGAACAAACTGATGGAAGGAATTGATCTTGGACTAAAGACGAAGAAGGCCAGCATTCTGACTGCATATGACTCTTTCATGGCTAAGTCCGGTGAACCGCTCCATGAAACGTATAACAGATTCATGATGCTTATATCAACGACATGAGGAAGATAAGTGATCATGTCTAACATGGAACTGCATATACGTCAGAGAAATTCAAGAGAGAAAGCCACATAGTTTTTAAGGGTAGAAGAGTACATGTTATGGGTATCTCCTTTCTCATATATAAATAGATAGGTTGCTCATACATGCATACATTCTCTAATGCAATCATTTATTTCATTATGGAGACAATATGCAGGGTGTCGCTTTAACTTTATGACACATCCTTTTGAATGATGCATGCACTTGCTTGCTCATATATAAATGTAAAATTTTATTTTCATTCGTATAAAATTAAATGTGGATCTTGAACAACCTTCTAAAATTCCGGCTAACATTGATATAGAAAAAAGAATGTGTACGGATGTTAGTTTGCCCGTTAGTATAATTCAGTAGTTGCAAAGTACTCCATTGAAAAGATTGAAATAACATTGAATCAAGTACACAATAGCTCGTTCGGGCAAACACCGTAGCACTGATACAATAATGATTTCTAGACAAATCATATAAATAAAAGCATTAGGTACACTATACACACAAACATATATATGGAAATAATTTTCAACATAAAATATATCTATTTTGCGAAAGGTTCATCAGCAAGGTCAACTAAACGAACATGTGCTCCATCGAAGAACCAATCCGACAGAGTGTTTTCAATGATTTAAAATTTTTGGTCAGTAGGAAATATGAGTATTCTATAGCCTATATGTGAAGCCACACTTGGACAAAGAGGCATGTAAGTATGTAACGAGATATCCAACTTTATAACTTTTCGAATGCAACGCTTGAAGTATCTGTTGTCTCAAATCTTGAGAAAAGTCATATCACCTTGGCTGAAGACTGTGTGATTCTCTATTTGGTCATGCAAGCCTTCCCTAAACAGGTTTCGTATTTTAAAAGTACCAAATGCCGAATTCAGAATGAAAATCTACGATTTGACAGAATCCAACACATTTTGAGGGAAGAAGCAAGTAGTGACACTCATTTTGGTAGTGCATTGCGTGGGAAATGCCTTCCTGAGATACACACCCAGTATAGTGGTGAAATCAGTTACAAAAACTTTGTCATGTAGGGATCTTTCATATATGTGAAGAAAGGGTGAATCGTCTACTAGACATTTCACTCGCACACTCTTGGAGAATTGACCCCAAAAGCGGTCGCAGTATATCATCACGCCCAGTCCGCTGGTCGATCCTCTGGCAAGGAGAACATTTTGCGCACCTCTCATTCTTTTCGCAATCAACTCTTTGACGACAACATTAGAGATCCTGACACCTCTGTAGTAGAGCTTTGTTACGAGGCCAAGTTTTTTGGCATCTCCGGAAAATGATCCCGCGTCGCAATATCTTACTAAAACCTGATTCCAGTTAAAAAATAACTTTCATTTGCATGAACATGAAATTCATTTTAATCGTCACATGTTGCATGTGATGGGAAGAACCAACATGACCTGCTGCATGGCTTTCACAATTCTGAACAGAATTATCACTTGTGTGATAAATGCTACTGTTCAAGCACCATCGTTCTCCTTGATGGTACACCACCCAATTCTCCGCACCATGACCCTTTCCTGTACGTCTCCCAGTTATATGCTAGTGCACTTCCATTCAGGCAAACAATCCCCTCTGCAATGACACTTTCAATAACATTAATCAGAATCTGCTCACCACTGTTGTTTGATGCATTTGATGATATGTGCATCACCAATTTCATGCTACATAGAAAATAGAGATGTATCATCACACCGTTTGACCAAACAACCATTTTCTCAAAGGTAGATTTTATCTAAATCTTTTCTGATGGGGTAATGGAAACTGCAAACTTAGCTCTCTAGGATTTTGTATACACAGATCAGTGTACATAATCGAACTATATATACGACGAGCAGGGCAATTACTTGTATCTTTGATTAAAATTTGTAAGGATATGATGGGGGCATACTACCGTTTTGTAAGGAGAAACAAAACTTTCAATTCCCAGGAAAACAACCAATGCTGACTCAAGCCTACTCAGATGCCTCAGACAGTTTCGACCCATCAAACGACTCTTTCTTTTCTGGTGACTTCCTAGGGCATGCAACTGATAGCACACGACGACTCCCTATTTCTAGTCAGGAAGACATTAGGGACTCTCAATTCAATAGAGAGATTTGCTTTAAATCACAATTCATCACTCGGGACACTTGTTTGCCAACAGAGAATCTGAACACGCAGCTTAAGATCTACAAAAAATCACAGAAGAATAAACGGCGCCATAGCATGCGGACTAGATCGCAGGCCAAAAAATTCCCATGGGAATAGTCTTTTATTTTATTGTATTTTTCCCTTCTGTTCTTTTTTCTTTCATGCATTGTACCCAACTTCTTTTTATCTAATAAATTTTCTTTTAAAAAAAAATATACGACGAGTTGGACAATTTTACTGTTTGCCAGGTATTAAAAAATAGAGGTTGGGGCACATTGATGGAGTGTGTTTGGCTAGGTAAGGCATAATTAAAGGTGAAATCATCCATTATGACACAACATGTGCAATACAAAATTTTGGAGGAAAATTGTCTTAATAAAAAATGAAATTATTAAAGCAAATATAGCCGATCTTAAATTAGTTTTCCTCCAAAACTGAGATATAATGTTGCATTGAATAATTGAGGCAAATATGAGATAAAGTAACTCAAATATTTCAGGTGTTTCTGTATTTTGAACAATTTTTTTTATGATTACAAAAAAAGAAAATGAAAAGAGCATATTTTACAATCCCCAATTATATTGAGGAACTATCTAAAATAATTAAATTAGATAAGATCGCCACCTATCTTTATACTTGATTCAAATTTGCAATATAATACTGTCTTCATTTAATATACTTTGTATTGCACGTGTTGTGTCACAATGGATGATTTCACCTTTAATTCAGCCTTACCTAGCCAAACACGCTCCATCAACGTGCCCCAACCTCTAATTTTTTTTTACTGCATGGCAAGTGATATATTATACCCCCATCATATCATTACAAATTTAAATCAAAGATACACGTAATTTCTCAGCTCATCATATATATAGTCAGGTTATGTGCATTGATCAAGTGTATACAAAATCCCAAAGAGCTAAGTTTGCACTTTCCATTACTCTACGAGAAAAGATTTAGAAAAAGTCTACCTTTGATAAAATGTTTGTTTGGTCAAACAGTGTGATGATACATCTCTTTACTTTCTATGTAGTAGTGACATTGGTGATGAACCAATCATCAAATGCATCAAACAGTTGTGGCGAGCAAATTCCAACTAATGTTATTGAAAGTGCCATTGCAGAGGGGTTGTTTGTCTGGACGAAAGTGCACTAACATATAACTGAGACAAAAGATAGAGCCATGGTGCGGAAAATTGGCTGGTGTACCTTCAAGGAGCAGGATGGTGCTTGAACAACAACATTTATCACACAAGTCATAATTTTGTTGAGAGTTGTGAGAGTCATGCAACAGGTGATGTTGGTTCTACACATCACATGCAGACTGTGACATTTAAAGATGTATTTTCTGTTCATGCAACTGAAAATTATTTTTAAACTGGAATCAAGTTTTAGTAAGATATTGTGATGGAGGATCATTTGCCGGAGATTCTAACAAACCTGACCCTGTAACGAAGCTCTACTGCAGATGTGTCAGGATCTTCAATATTGTCATCAAAGAGTTGATAGTGAAAGCAATGAGAGGCGCACGAAATGTTCTTCTTACCGGAGGATCGTCCGGCGGCCTAGGCGTGATGATACACTGTGACCGCTTCTGCGGCCAATTCTCTAAGAGTGTGCGAGTAATATCTCATGCAGATGGTCCACTCTTTCTTCACATGAAAGATCTCAGCAGGGCGAAGTTTTTTGAAATAGTTTTCAGCATTGTAGTGGGTGTGCATCATCTCAAGAAGGCACTTTCACGCATTGCACTTCCAAATGAGTGTCACTGCTTGCTTCTTTCCCCAAAATTTATTGGATTGTGTCAAATTGCCGATTTTCATTCTGAATTCGACGTTTGATACTTTTAAAATAAGAAATATGCTTTTGGAAGGCTTACACGATCAAATCAAGAATCACACCACTGTCAACCAAGGTGATATGACTTTGCTCAAAGATTTCACACATCAAATACTCCACGCGTTGCCTCTAAAAAGTGCCAAAGATGGATATATGGCCATACTTACATTCCTCTTTGTTCGTAGTGTGGCTTCATATATAGGCTACAAAATACCCATATTTCCTGCTGACCACAATTCTGAAACCATTGAAAACACTCTATTGGATTGGTTCTTTGATGGAGCACATATTCGCTTAGTTGACCCCGCTGATGAACCTTTCGCAAAATAGATATATATCATGTTGAACATTATATATATATATATATATATATATATATATATATATATATATATATATATATATATATATATATATATATAGGGGTGAGATCACATACAAACTAGTCTTCCCATGCTAACCTACAAACTATCACAAACTGTGCATCTTTACATTATTTGTACTGCATATTGAAGTTCAAAGTGTTGCATATCATTTGTACTGCATATTAAAGTTCAAAGTGTTGCATATTATTTGTATTGCATATTGAAATTCAAAGTGTGCATCTTTACATTATTTATACTGCATATTGAAGTTCAAAATGTTGAATATTATTGAGTTTGTAGGTTAGTATTTTAAGCATGGTTTGCATTTGATCTCTTATATATATATATATATATATATATATATATATATATATATATATATATATTGGTTCAGGTGAGAAATGCATCTAATGTGAGAAATGAGAATGAATCTCAGCCATTGGATTTACGAAGTTGCACTAAAATTGGCTTTATGTTGCAGTAATATTTAAATTTTGCACATGTTGCACTAAAACTGTTTCATGTTGCACTAATATTTGACGGCGTTGCACCGAAATAGCTTCATGTTGCACTAGACAAGTGTAATACGGATTTTTCAAAAGTATTTACAGAAATGCCACCGTGCTAGATTGCATATTTCAGTGCATCATGAACTGTCTTTTACTGCAACTTAGTCGAATCCAATGGCTGAGATTCATTCTCATTTCTCACCCAAAGGGTTCTTCTCACTTGAACCTTACCCTATATATATATAAGAAGGGTTTGTATTTGATCTCTATTCTATATATATATATATATATATATATATATATATAGAGAGAGAGAGAGAGAGAGGAATGATCAGGTCCATCCGGAGGGACGGGAAGTGCCGTACGAACTTTACTGTTTGGGGTGGTTCCCGGTGGAATTTTTTGATGAAATTTTTTGAGCATGTTCTTCATCAAGTCTAGTTTGTCCATACCAAATTTCAGTTCAAAATTCGACCGGGAAGGCATTCAAATCATTTTTTGAAGTTGACTGCGCCAAAATATACATATAAAAATGCAGTCAACTTCAAAAAATGATTTGAATGCCTTCCCGGTCGAATTTTGAGCTGAAATTTGGTATGGACAAACTAGACTTGATGAAGAACATGCTCAAAATATTTCATCAAAAAATTCCACCGGGAACCGCCCCAAACGGCGGAGTTCGGACGGCGGCTGGACCGGGGAGGGCTGGACCTGATCTTTTTTGTATATATATATATATATATATATATATATATATATATATATATATATATATATATATAGAATAGAGATCAAATACAAACCTTTCTTAATTTACAAAGTACAAACTCATCTTGATCATCCGATGAGTTGATCCAAAGGATAGAAAGGCAAGGTGGCATTTTTGTAATAAAACCCAACTTTTTTAGGGTGCAACTCATTGAACGTTAATATGCAACTGCTATTTTATGGCTGAATAATATGCACTACTTTGAACCTCAATATGCAATACAAAGAACGTTAAGGTGCATCGTACAAATATTTGCACAATAAGCACAGTTTGTACTTGATCTTTCCCCTATATATATATATATATATATATATATATATATATATATATGTATATATAGTCTAGAAATCATTACTATATCAGTGTTGTGCTACGGTACAGTGTTTGGCCGAACGAGCTATTGTGTACTTGAGTCAATTTCATTTCAATCTTTTCTACGAAGTACTTTGCAACTATTGAATTATACTAATAGGTCAACTAGCACTTGTAAAAATTGTTTTTTTGTAGAGCGATGATAGCCGGAATTTTAGGAGGTTGTTCTAGGTCCGCATTTAATTTATACAAAGTAATATACAATTTTATATTTATACATGAGCAAACAATAAGTGCATGCATCATGGTAAAGGATATGGCATAAAGTGAAAGTGACACCCTCTGCATGGTTCCCACATTGAAATAAACGATTGTATTAGAGAATGGATGCATGATAGGCAACCAATCTATTTATATATAAGAAAGGAGATATCCATGACATTTACTCTTCTATCCTAAAAAACTCCAAAATTTCTCATACGTGTCAAAGCGCCCATTCTTTTCGCTCCACTGAATCATTTTTATCTTAAAAAAGTTTGATCCCAATGGGTCCTTGCCTCTTTCCATCTGACCACCACCAAGTATCCAACCACACCAGAAGGTTACGATTGTTATAGTAACTTGCAAATCAAACTGGTCTCCCTACTTCAAAACACATCGGTCTAATATTCATGCGTTTGAGGTAGTACATGTTCATCGCCTTTTGACGCTAACCATACGATATTCATACTTGAGAGAGGTAATCTCTATATCTACCAGGGTCTTATTACTCCAATTTATATCTCTAAGTTCATGTTTTAGATGTTTTATAGCTTTTGTCTTCATTAATATTTATATTTAACAATAAATAGGAATTAGTTCTACTTCTTCATCGTAATTTTGAGTTTAATTTATCTTTTGTTTGTTATTAAAGATACGGTAATTCAATGGACTAATATAGGGCTTATGTGCCTTGAGTATATTTTCCATAATAGAGAAACAAAATTATAATAGTAAAAAATGTAGTTTTCCTTCTTCACTACTATACTTGCATATATAATGTTAAATTTTCGAGCTTAGTGGCGCAGATGGTACTGGGGTACGATCATCGATCAGGCACTTTGTGTCGTGCGGACTAATGTGTAACCCCCAAATTAAAATGTGTCGTCGGGGCAATGATGTCCGGAGACGCTCGGATCGCTAATCAAAGCTGATCGAGAGTGGGCCAACGGCCCCACAAAACTAAGCATCTATAAAATGCTGACTGAACTAATTCTCACTAGAGCTTCACTTAGCATTATTTAATTCGGGACATTTAAATCCCTAATAAATAATAGTGATGTACCTGGTAATAGTAATGATACTATCTTATCACAGGTCATTCTGACACGCTCCGATCTCTAATTAAAGTCGATCGGGGTGGACCAATGGGCCCACAAGAACCAGTCATTAAATTAAAATGACTGTTGAGTCCACTATTCAATCTCGGGATATTTAATAGCAATAGTAATACTCCGTAACATTATTCTAATTAACACTTTAATTAGTAAAGATCAGGGGTCTAGGTGATACTTAGCTCTTAGGCAGAGCACTTGTGTTCGCAGAAACCAAGTGGGGCGATTGCTTTGCCCAGGCCGGTCATCCATCGCTTTGGCAGTTCCCCCCTGCGGCCAAGAGAGCACTCGTAGGCTACCCGGTTCATAGGCCTTCATCTTTTACAGACTTCGCAGCGGCCATGGCGGATAACGGTGGTGGCCGGTGGGGAAATCGCGGCCAACCAACGGCGGTACCAGAGAAGGTGGTCTGCGAGCACCCAAGCACGGCGGTGTTGGGAGACCGGTCCTGTGTAGAGAGCGGCAGAGGCCACAGGTTGTGATTTCGGCGTCAAGTGAATTGTGGGGTCGTGTCTTCCTTTGAAGGCGAGCTGTGGGCAGCCGTTAATGGCGGACCACTGGAAGCTCTCTCTGGCATGACGGCCATGGCATCTCCGCCTGGAGCAGTGCTTTCTGCGGCTGGTCTGCTGCGGCTCTGCGGCAGCTAGGTCCTGAACTGGGAAGGCGAACTCCAGCGAGCAGGAAGCATCAGCCAATGGATCACGGCGGCGGCGAGGTTGCTGACGGAGCTCCGGCGGTTCCAGATCTGGATAATCCCAGATTCGAATTCCTGACCCTTTGTCTCATTTTTTCTTCATTTTTGCTGAAATCCAGTCCATTTTCGTATGAATTTTTATTTTTTTAAAGAAAAATCAAGGATCTTTTTGAACTGATTCCCAGACAGCGCCACTTTTGAGTTTAATCCAACACGATATATTGTAATGGTGATCAGAGTCTAATGAGAAAAAGAATGTTTGGACATTAGCCTAAAAAGTCATGTGTTTTTTTTTTCTTTTGGCGGGTTTATACATATTTATGTCTCTACATAGTATATCGTGTTGGATTAAACTCAACATTAAACTGAGAGTCCATAAGCCTAGAATCTCGTGTATGGTCTTGAGGTGTTTTTTATCTTTAACATTTAATTTGAAACAAATATTATTTTATATTTGAAAATAAATTTTGTAAAATAACATACTAGTACTATTTTATTACATTTTGACATTTTTTGCAATATACATACATTACGTAGTATTTAATTAAAGAAATAACTACATGTATATGATTGAAATAAAAATTGCTAACTTACAAAAAACGTGATGAATCACTAGAATATTAATAAAATCATAGTAAATAGCTTATATTTAACTTTTAAACTTAAGTTATGATGACACTACATTGTATTACTCCCTCCGTCCCCTTTTAAAAGTCCCGGAAGAGGGTGACACGAGTTTTAAGAAAAGTGGGTTTGTGTGGTTGATATTAATTGATAAAGTAGGAATAAAGTAAGAATAAAGTAAGAATGATTTTGAGCCACACAAACTTTACCAAATGAGGTATGGGACATTTAAATAGGGACATCCCAATATGGTAAAATGGGACATTTAATTGGGGACGGAGGGAGTAACTAATAATCATGTTTGTGTAAATAAATTTTATTTTAATACTAACAAAATAATTTTGAAAAAAATCTTAATTAAATTTTGGCCTCAACTAAATGGCAATATTTTTTCATGTACCTCGATTATAAACTCCGGCCGGCCATCACTAATATAAAGTGTAGTAATATATTTAGGAAATTGGGAGATTAGTTTGAGTTTCACATGTTAATCTATCGCAATACTAATCATAACATCTTTAGATGGGATGGGGTTTTAAATTTTGCAAACTATATACTCACAAAAACGTAACTAATAAATTTACCAGCTAATTTAACGATTTTGAAATTCATACCTCTCCAAACGGTCTTCACAGCATTCATTATTGGTTAGCATAGTTTTGAAGCGGCCAGATATGGGTATGGACGGACGGACGGACGGATGGAGCCCTTGCTAGCTTAGCTT